ATCGTTGCTATTATTGATGTTATCATTATTGCCATTAATATAGTAACAGTAATAGAATAAAGATGGTGATAATGCTAATCATAATAATGGTACGAATGGCACCATTTCTCATAGTAGTTAGACTTAGAACAAGAAAGAGAATATCAACAATATTAATGTAAAAGTAAAAGTAGTAGTAGTAGTAGTAGTAGTAGTAGTACTGCTACTACTACTACTACTACTACGAACAATAGTGGACGTAAATGATAATCAAATACTTATCAGGTGGTTGGCCGTGAAGTTTTGAAATGTAGAGCTACTTAAAAAGATAGTTACAAAGGCGAGTACCTTGGAAGTTATGAGGGCCGGAAACAGTCATTGAAATTCCCAGCTCATGCTAAACGGAAAGAGAGAGATAGAGAGGGGGGGGGGGGGGTAGACAGACATATAGACAGAGACTGAAACATTTTATTTTACTTTGATAAGGGATAGGGACAGATAGATAAACAGAGAGAGATACTGAAACATTTTTTACATTGATAAGTTTATTGAGAGATGGGGGTGGGGCAGAGAGAGAGTGAGAGAGAGAGAGAGTGAGAGAGAGAGTGAGAGAGAGAGAGAGAGAGAGTGAGAGAGAGAGTGAGAGTTCACTTGTGATAAGATCCAAGATCCACATGGATATGGGACCAACGTTTTTTATTACCTTTCGCCTAAGCCTAGATTTCCACCTAAATCTAGCGCTTTTTAAGTTATCCTAATTGGCTCTAATACTTACTACCCAACGTAGCGTGCGTAACCGCTGTCGATGCCCAACGTAACATTTCTCTTATCAAGCACAACCCCCCCCCCCCTCTTAACGCGCAGCAAACCGGATATTCTTAGAAACGCTTTCCCCCCCGAGCCCTGGATTCAGAGTACATGAACGAAAAGTGATCAGGTCGCGTTCGTGTTAGTGGTTGGGATGTATATAAGGGGGCCGTAAGTACTTCTTTTGGCCAGATAGCTTTCGTGACTACAGAGAACGGTATAGAGAAGGGAGAGGAATAGAGAAGAAGGAGCTATAGAGTGAGAGAGAGAAAGATCGTGTGCACGGTAGGCTGCTCGACTAAATATTCGCGCGGCATTTGCCCGACAACAAAATTCCAAATGTTCTATTTCAGAAAGTTCATTTCTAAAAGCATCATTCTGAGCGTTCCAATCCAAATGTTCTATTCTAAACTCGCTCTCCCCCTTCTGCAGGAGCAAGAATGCCGTCCATTGGCACGGGTAGCGTCGACCTGCGATCCATCTTGGGGAGCATTCTGAATGTGGTCAAGAGCCGAGCCAATCAGATCTGCGCCGCCACTTGCGATGGCCTCGTCCTCAGAATGCACTACAGGTGGACCTTCTGCATCATGCTCGGAGGGTTTCTCACCGTCTGGTACTCATGGTGAGTAGGAAGAGCTCTTTCTCTTCGTGTCTGTACTTCGTTTTCTTTTTATATTCTAATGACAAATAATGGAGACATATGCTTAGATTATATATATGATTGGTTCACGTGGTTTTATCTGAGGAAAGGTTATATCATGTTTAATTCATTGGGGCGGTTGTATTGGTAGAGAAAGGGACGCTGACCAGTACAGTCATGTCACCAGAGTCTCAGAAGAGGTAATCAAGTAAAACATATTTTACAACTGATTCCTTCCCCGCAGGTATTATCGTGACGTCATAACCTGCGTGTCACACTTCAACGCCGAAACGCAAGTCCGACTCGACTACATCAACATCTGCCTCTCGTACCCCTACGTGGAGGACAGCGGCTCGAGGCGCTACCTGCTCTTCTACCGGTGGATCTCGTGGTCGCTGCTGGTGCTCGCCGGCGTCTACTACATCCCACGGAAAGTCTCTAAGAGCTTCGACAACGCCCGCTGCAAGAAGCTGCTCGAGGATCTCGCTGCCAACGCCCACCGGTATGACCAGGCGGAGCGCGAGCTCGTCGAGAGGGCCGCCCGGTACATCCTGTTTAACCTCAAGACGCACAACGGCCTCTACTGGAAGTTCTTCTCGGTGAACCTGATGGCGCTCGTGGTCGACGTATTCGCCATGCAGTACCTGGACTTCATCCTACAGGGCCGCTTTATCCAGTACGGCTTTAGGGCCTATCCGTTCGACAGGGATCCGCAGCACTTCACCGACTTCATGTCTCAGACGTTCCCGCCGTTCGCGCTGTGTGAGCTCTCCACCGAAAACCAGCTGGTGAACAAGCGGACGGAGGTTTTCGGTTGCCACCTCACCATCATGGAACTCTACGAGAAGCTTTTCCTCGGGCTGTGGCTGTGGCTCATCATCCTGGCCTTCGTCACCTGCTGTTACATCATCTTCCTGTTCGCCATGTGGCTGCCATGCGTGCGCGTGTACCTGCTGCGCACCGCCAAGCCCGCACACGCCAACGACAACGTCCGTGCGATGGTGGTCAAGGTCTGCAAGAACTGCAAGATCGGAGACATTTACCTGCTGTACAGGATCAAAGGTCATCTCAGCCACGCCCGCTTCTACGAGCTCATGACGCGGCTGTCGGACCCCAACCTCTTCAACAAGCAGGTGGTGGGCAACCCGGCCTCGGCGGCGCCCGACACCAAGGACAAGATGCCGCCCAACAAGCAGCCGGACACGCTCAGGAACCGCCGCCCCAACGTGCCGCAGGATCCGCCCATCAACCCAGACTACCTCCACCAGCTGCTCACCAACCCGGAGATGATGTCTCGGAACCCGCAGCATCCCGACCAGCGGACGCCGCTGCTCAAGAAAAACACCAGCATCTTAATTGAATAGTCAGTCGCGTAGTCTTAGAGCTACACTTGAGATTCCTAATTCTTAAAGCTGCCATAGGACGAGGTGCTGCCCGAGGTTGGTCTTCGCTTCTGGCCTAGGACTCTTCTATCCCTCAACATGAGACGCCCAAGAACAGCCCCACCGAGACAAGCTCCTTCAAGGCCGCAAAGAGGCTTCAATTTGGAGAATCTGAAGCCAGGGAACGATCGAGCTAAGGCTTGGCACGGATGGGCCAGCGCCGGCGGGGGCTTGTCTCCTCGTCGGTGCGTCGAACGAAGCTCTTGAAAATTTTCCAAACGGTCAACCATGACCATAAAACGGACGCTTCACTGCCCGGGCGACGCGGCGTCCTCAACCGCCTCACGCGGCGCTTAGGGTTCCTCGCAAGCCCTGGGGGCTCCGCACGGCTCCGAGGGCGTACCGGTGGACGACGACAACGTATGTCGCGCCTCGTCTTGACAAATGTCGTCGCTGGGATAACCCTGGCGCATGGCGGACGGCGAAGGGGCGCCCTCGCTCGAGACGCACAGAAGACGTACAGACTCGGTTGAAAAGGTGAAGAGAGAACAAACCAGTGGTTACATGGACGAGAACAAAAAGTGCCTTAGCTGAATTCTGTGTCAATTCCAATACTATTTTTTTCTTCTTTTTTTTAAGGCTGTTAGTGTTGAACTGTTATCACCGTAGTTTTTAATAATGTTTATTTATTACAAGTGACTGAACCAGAGGTGCTAGAGTCAGCGTGAAATGATTTACAGGAAAAAAAGGAAAATGAAAATAGTGTGCAGTGCGGCCTCTCCCCTCAAGGGCCCGTGACGCACGTTCCCAGGCATTAGCATCAACGGCGCTTGGCTCTTCGTCGCCGTCGACAGCTCTTCCATTCTCCATTTTTATATATTGATATACACTCCCATTTTTATATATGTATGTGTAAACTAATGGATTCTTCAATGATGGTGGAAAGAAGAGAGGGCCGATGGCGCTCTCTGAGTTTCTTTTGCTCAGACCATTATTTTTTTAACTGTATCACCGAAAGGATTCATTTCAATGTTGAAAGACGCAGGCTCGCCGATCATCTTTCTTCGCTTTCTTGAGACGGAAAAGGATAAGACGGAAATATCAAGAAAGCGACGAAGAAAGGATGTGGAAAGGAGAGGAGAGAGAGACGAAAGGGTCACCTCCCAGGAAGAAGGAAGGCAGACACTGTATCAATTTGAAAGTATTTTCCTTTTTCTTTATCTCCTAAATTCTATTTTTATCATGACGTTTCATATATTCGGTGTTATCATTAGGCTCGTTTTCCCAACGACAAAACAGATTATTCGGACATGCACATACGTACACACACTTACAGGCACATACACATAAATGCACACGTACACACACGAGGCCAAAAAGGATTATGATGAAGAAATTTTTAAATCCATTAAAGACATCAGTCTCTGCTTTTGTTATGAGACTAACAATATATATATATATACATCCATGTATATGTATATACGATATATATGTGTATATTATATATATATATATATAGAAACAGCTTTACTGAGACTGAAAGGCGTCCCAAGTCTGGATCCAAAATTGTAATTTAACACCCCCCCCCCCTTACCCTCCCGCCAAAAATAGAGAAGTAATCATTTCCCTAAAACTTTATCCACTTTTTTCATTTCACTCTTCATTATATTACAACTGTGATATTTCTCTAGGATTAAGAAATCTCCTTTTTTGATACGCAACTTTGGGGGAAAAGAGATGTAATTATTTCTTTCAATTTTTGATTTTTTCCCCGGTTGCTGCCATATGTTAAATAAATGAGTGCATGCATGTTAGTATTTTTTTTTTCTGATAATTTTTTTTCCTCCTTTTTTTTTGGATTTTAAGTGTTGTTTTTTTCTCTGTGTTCTTTGTACGATCCTTTGAATAATATGACATTTTGATTCGTGTGTTTTATTCATTTGTGCTTCCTGTTTTCCTTTTGGAGTTTCTGTCTAATGTTTTTTTTTCACTGAATATTAACCACAACTAAAAAATATATATATACACGAAATGAGGAAGGCAAAGAAAAATGATACCAAAATAATGAGAGTTATAATAATATTATACTATTTTGATTATTTTGAGAGAAGAAAGGGTAATAATGATAATATTAATAACAACAATAGTGCTGGTGATAATAATAGTGACAATAATAATAGCGATAATAAAAATAGTGATAATAATAATAGCAGTAGTAATGATAATAACAGTAATAATGATAATGATAACAAAAATATAATTATAAAAACATTAATAACAATGAAATAATCATAATAACTTCAATAATGATAATGATATAATATTGACAGTTATGTTAATAATGATGCTAATAATAATGATAATAGTAATGATGATAATGATTATAATAACAGTAATAATAAGTGATAGCAGCACCAACAGCAACCACAACAACAATAATAATAACTAAAATAATGATGATGATGGTGATGATAACAATAATGATGATAGTGGTAACGGCAACAGCAGTGATGATGATAGTGATGAAAATGATAATAATGATGAAAATGCTGATGGTATGACAATGAAAATGACACAGTAACGACTTAGGGTTATTACCGTCTTTCATTATCGGTATTATCTTTTCATTATTTTCCCATTCCTTCTCTCTCTCTCTCTCTCTCTCTCTCTCTCTCTCTCTCTCTCTCTCTCTCTCTCTCTCTCTCTCTCTCTCTCTCTCTCTCTCTCTCTCTCTCTGAACACCTGATATGTCATTATTTCTAAATTCTCCTAACGAAATCTTCGAAAACAGTTACCATAAGAATTCTCATTACTACCATAATCATTGCAAACCATTATTATTGTTGTTGTTTTCATTATTAACTTTGTCTTTTTTGTTGCTATCTTTGTTGTTATTAATTCACTGATAGTAATGCAATTAATAATGGGATTGATGTGATAGGGTGAATGACAATAAAATCAATAATAATTACCATCATGATAATCATGAAAGTGATAATGATAACGAAAATGTAATAACAATAGTGATTACAAGCATAAGGACGATAACTATAATAATTAGAACAGCAGCGACGAAAATCAAAACGAGAACAATAATAAGATTAACGAATAATATCAATAAAAACAGTATTTGCAACAATGGTAACAAGACCACCAAACCTAATAAAAAAAAAATCTTACGATAACAAGCCAATAGACAATAGCAATGATGATGACATTAACAATAAGAAAAAAAATATGACGTTCATGGAATAACGACATTAACAACAATATTAAGGAGAATGATGATAATTATAAGAATGAGATAAAACCAACAGCAACTACAATAATGAATATGATTATGATGACAATGAGAACAATGATAATAATTATGGTAATGATAACAATAAAACTAGTATATAATAGTAATAACAACAGTGATAGTGATAATGATAATAAAAATAATATTGATGATAAATCTCGTTTGTGTATTGTGTTTTTTTTTCTGCCAATAATGATAATGCTGATGATAATGGTAATAAAGATAATAAATAATGATCTTAATAATAATGATGATGATAATTGCATTGATGCTAATTACAATAATGATAATGATAATGGTAAAAACTAGGACATGAAATAATAATAGTAATAATGATAGCAATAACAATATTACAAAAAAGGATAATGAAATGACAGTAATAGAAGTTTTAATAACAATAATACTGATGATAGTAATAATAATGGTATTGATAATAGTAATGATAATAAAGATGATAATAATCATAACATAACAGTAATAATGATAATGATAAAAATAATAATAGTAATAATAATGATAATAATAATAATGGTAATAATAATAATAATAATAATAATAATAATAATAATAATAATAATAATAATAACAATAATGATAATATTAATGAAAATAATTATGATAATAATGATAATGATAATAATAATAAGAAAATAATGATGATAATGGTAATGATAATAAAGATGATAATAATCATAACATAACAGTAATAATGATAATGATAATAGTAATGATAATAAAGATGATAATAATCATAACATAACAGTAATAATGATAATGATAATAGTAATGATAATAAAGATGATAATAATCATAACATAACAGTGATAATGATAATGATAAAAATGATGATAGTAATAATAATGACTGATGATAATGATAATAATGGTAATAATAATAATAATAATAATAATAATAATAATAATAATAATAACAATAATAATGATAACGGTAATTATAATATTAATGATGATAATAGTAATAACGATGGTGATAATGAAAATAATAGTAATGATAATGATAATGATAATGATGATAATAACAATAATAATAATGATAATAATAACAATAGTAATAATGATAATAATAACAATAACAATAATGATAATAATAACAATGATATAATAATGGTAGTAATAATAGCAATAATAGTAATGATGATGATGATGATAATAATAATAATGACAATGATAATAATAGTTGTAGTATTAGTAGTAACAACAATAGTAATCATAATAACAACAGTGATAATGAGGGTAATAATATAAAACTATAATAAAGATGATTCGGATAATGATAAAAGTAATGATAATGATAATAATGATAATAACAACAATGATCGTAACAGAAATAACAACAATAATTATTATTATAGTCATGGTGATGATAATGAT